CCGAGTATTTAGAGCTAAATACACGGTTCTCGGAAATCCGAAGATCATCGACACAATAACTAAAATAGCAATGCGCAATAATATAGATTAACTTAGAAAATTGCGTAACAAGACAATTATCGAGAGTTGACTGTATCTAGTATACTGTATATACAATAAAGACGTGCCGTATTAACCTGACTGTGGGTGAAAAAAAAAATACTAATAAATATATATATATATTAATGATTGATAATAATAATTGATAATTTAATTTGATAATATGAACGATACGAAGATACAGTATTATCCGTGTTTTAAACGTTTTTATTTGTGTGGCATAATAATGAAAGGTTCACACGAAAACGTCGGCAAATTAACGTGGGGATCATTTGCAAGTATTGTGTATGTATGACCTTCGGTGATGAATTGCTAATAGATACTGTAAATGCAATCTAATGAACTAGTCGAATTTCAGATGTTCGCTTTTTAAACGTTAAATGTCTATGAAAGATAAGTGAGGTAACATGAACTGTATAAAGACCGGGTTAATAATTCTAAGTACAAAAGAGCAGACATTTTACTTCCTCAAAATCACAAATAACTTTTCAACAAGACTTGCAAAAAAAAAAAACAATTTTTTTTCTTTAATAATGTTGTTAAAACGTACACTTTTCGCTGCTTTTGTAGCCTTTTCTCTACTCGCGTTATGTCTCAACGCAAATCCCGTACCTCGTTGCCCCGCATCTGTCAATTTAATGGACAAACTTGGCAACAACATTACATTCACTCAATCTGATGAATCTGGTAAAACTATTGTCACGTTTTCTGGAGAATTTAAGAAGGGCATCGACAAAAATGATCCAAAAAATTACTATATAAAAATTATGACGCCATTCCCACTACAATACTCCTTTGAAACGTTGAAAATACAAATTAATATACCTGCTACCTCTGCTTTTTCGTATTCTTCCAGTGGAAGTTTAAGAAATTCTTACATCGGCAGAATTCTCAAGGTTCTTTACAACAAGGATATTATCGGTGAGGGAAAAATTGAAAGTTCCTCTTGTTAGTAATATAATTTTTCGACACCATCGCGAGTGATAGCGTCGTCATAACTTCATGCGTTCTTTCTTTGATAATATACAGTATTTCCTCAACTAGTAAAAAAAAAGCCCTTTTCAATTTTTTTCAATTACAGTATCGATACTTAATTAAGAAAATATTGTAATTCCCTGTCCTTACAACTATCGATTCTTGAAACTTTAATAAACGTTAATACACTTGAAGCTTTATGTAATCCTAACTATGATTGCAACATGATAATACCTACATATGACTAAATGAGAATTTTACTAAACTTACAGTAAATCTGATTTCCCTTTATCGTGAGATTGTAGAAAATTAAATTACTATCTCTTGTAACTATATGAAATGTTGCTTTAACAAAACCGGGAAGCGTTTTATACAACTGCCAAGAGCGGAATCAGAACCGAGTAACAGTGAAGTGGTTTAAATTATATTGTTGTTCGAGTAGTTTTAATGCAGGACAAAAATGCGCAATAGAAGATAATTGTTGTAAGGTAATGATAAATTTTATTTTATTTTATGGACAACTTATTAATTAGAAAAACAAGATCTAGGCATTACATAATACAACTCATCTTTAGTATGCTATTAGTTAATGGATCGATCTATTGAAAATCAAACTATCCCTAAGCTGATCTGATGTGTCTTTAAATTAAATTTAAAAATTAATATACTTCTTTATAAATTAGAATTTTTCTTTAATTAAATCTATGCTGACTTTTTATCTTTATTAATTAGAAGACTAATGGTCAAAATATCATATATTGATTTTAACTTGTGAAGCAATCGACAAGCCAGTTGTCTTTATCTTTTTTTTGATATTGAATTGTTAAAATTAAATTATCTAAGAAAAAAGAGAGTAAGAGAAAAAAAAATAAAGTTTAAAAGTGTACAAATATATGAAATAAATAAATAAAATAAATTATTGCTTTTTAAAAGATTTATTATTGTTTTTTTGTCATTTCTCAAAAAAATGTTTTAAGTAAAATATTTTTTTTTTTATTTTACCATTTAAAAAAACTTATTTATTCTTAATATTTTACTATATAAAAATTTATACTTTTGATCTATTTAAAAAATTTTTTTTTCTATTGGAAATCATATTATTATAATATATTTTTATTAGATATTAAATGAATATTACAATATTATATAAACTTTTGCATAACAATTAATTTCATTTTTTTTTTTAACTCACAATCATGCCACAATGACATGTTTTTATTGAAAAATTGAAATGAATTTACAATATTTTACAGACTTTCACAAAGTGACTAACTCGTCTTCATACAAAAGT